TACGAACTAGAAGAACAAAGGCTTTGCTAGGCTTAGACACTCAGTCATCGAGGGGAAGGAAAAGCATTTCTTAATATATATATATGTACGTATGAACGTATTCCTTTCCTTCTGTGGTATTCAAAGCACCACACCCAACAGGTGGACAGTCAGTCCTGACCAGCGCTGCTCCAAACGGACTCCATCGTTCTGCAGAAGGCACCCGCGACAGCCCTGGTCCACGGACACAGGGCCACGGAGCTCCCTGCAGCGCCGTGAGAAAGAATCTCAGCACGACTGTAGACCGCGCAGGGGCGGGGGCTCAGCCAGGCCAGAGCAGAGCCCCCAGCCTGGCGCTTTGCAGTCTGGAAGTTGTCCAGGTTTCGGTGTCCACAAAGTATGCAAAATGTAGCTAATTCCCACCATTTGGGGGTATTGCTAAAAAAAAAAAAAAAAAAAAAAATCCACTCAAGTGACCCTTTAATCTTAGGGCATTAATATTTAATCACAGCTCTGATTGCATATAAGGGCAGTTCAAGGGTATATTTTCACCTTAAGGTCTAATAATTTAATAACACTTATTGAACCTGCATTTGTATTAGACCTCACTCTCTTTTAATACCGTGTTGCTTTAAATAGGGTCCATTTTGAATGGGGACCGAATAGTCTATTTTTTGGTTCTGTGCTTTCTTCTACAAACCACAGGGCATGAAGGTGCTTAATCAGTGCGCTTTGATGAAGAACAACAAAGCCATAAAGATCGTTTCTATCAGACAATGAAAACCACCTGATTGAAATCTTCTCTCCCTCTGTTGACAGTGGTGTCACTTCAAGGATTGTCATCGCCCTTCCTCGGCCGGTATCAGAGAATACGCTGTAGAGAAAGTCCCACTTGTTCGGAAAGCGGCTTTGAGGCGAACCCTTAATCTAAAACGTCAGGAGTACATTCTCTCCCTTCAGGTACCAGCCTCGCTCGTCGTGCAGTTCGAAATCGGGATTAATATTTTAACTTCTCACTTACGGGATCTTTCCGAGTCGGAGCCAGGCTTAATTAGCCGACATCGGGCACCCGGCGTCCCATTATGGAACTTGCATTCCTTAGATATTGGTTCGTTTATGCTCCCGGAGGAGGAGGCAGCTCCTCTCTGTCCGCTCCGAGGAAGGCGTGTGCGCCTCGAGTGGTATCTTAGCTCAGCCAAGTGCGCGGTGCAGCTTCCACGGTGGTTTGGGGGCACGTGGCGCTCTCTCTCCTATTTAATCGCTCGCCTCGCTGTCCCGGCCTCCACTCTGTGCCGTTACGTTTTGGGGGATACGATGTTGACCCGCGGGTGGTCCAATAAAATGCGTGTTCCGTACTAATGAGCCATATTGCAGTTCCGACATATTTCCGGTGTAACCTCATAGCTTGTTTCCCAAGCTTCTTAACAGATGGCATGTGTTTTGTAAATATCTCGCTGTCGTGAGACAGGATATTTTTGTCAGCTGACTTCCCCCTGCCCAGACGACAGGCCCACCTTTGAGCGTGGGACGGTATGCCTGCACCTAAGTTTCCGCTCTGAACCCTCAGAGAACCCAGAAGGGCACACACCTGTGGCTGATGCCACAGACTCGTCTACAAACCGTCCCCAGGAAGCCAAGCCGGATTTTCAGGTGACATCCCTACAAACAGATGAGTTGCTATTACGGTCACTGTAAGCACCATCTCTGTGGAGAAGGGCAGATCCTGAAAATGGACAGAACGAGTGGGTCACTCCTCCTCAGCAAACCCACGTTCGGGGGCCAAGGGCGGGAAGGACAAGTCCGGAGACGACATCATCATCTGTCCGTTGCACCTCTTCTGAGGTGACTTATGGGCGATGTAGGTCTATGATTCCATATTTCAATTTTATGTACCTCATTCGGTCTTTTGTCTGTGTAGTTCCTTGCCCTGGAACAGTGACTCCGCGGACTGTAAGGAACGTAGCAGGGGGCATTAAGACCTGGGCAGAAAATCATAACAAAACACACACTCGTATGTAACAGGTATCGTGACAATTTGCTACCAGTGCATTGTGGGATAGAGCGACGCAAAACGCCATTGAGTGGGTTTCCAGATTTGAGATGAGCTCATAGTTTTGTATCAGATTTTAACACAGGCCACAAAATCACATCAAAGAATGGCTTTTTCCCATATGCCATTGCAACCTGAATTTTAAGGTTGAAAGCTTCAACTTTTTTATGTAGCTAACGCTACCACCTACGTGGATAAATATCAACCTGAGCAGAGAAAACAGGTAGAACAAATAACAATTATAAACAGCAACTGACTCTATTTTTTAGGGCTTGTCTTAGTAAATAAAGTATTGATCCCTCCCATTTGGGACTCTGGCTCAATTCCACTTTTCAGTCCTCAGTGAAATGGATTCAGTGGCCTGGGCTGCTGCTTAGCAAATGGGAATCCACATAACAGAATATAAACCGCTCGTCTTGGCCAACCTGGTTTCTCTCCAGGAGAACAGGTGCGCAGGATCTTCTGCAGAGACCCAAAGAGCCGGCCTCACAAAAACACAACTCGAAACCCCTGCCTCCAACACGTCTACTCTCCGCAGTATTTTCATGAGCATCACACGCCCCACCCCCACCCCCACCTTTTTTACCCCTCCAGGAATTTCCCTGACCTAGAATTCGGTTGCTTTTCACTCTAAGAAACTTTTGTGCCACGCTCTGGGTGCTGACTCTTTTTTCCCCCCCCAGGCTTTTTGCTGTCTTTGGTTTTGGTCAATCAACGTCATTAAAAAGGCAGGAGTGTGGTTCAGAGGGTCGCTAAAGCAACCCACTGCTCTGTCTCATTATTGCTCATTAGCAAACGCAGCCCAACTTGGCCGTGCCCCACAGGGAACCCCAGAATATTCTCAGCCCAAAGATGCAGGGGGTTCGCGTCTACCCCTCAAGCGGACGTTTAATCGGTAACTTCGCAAAGCCAAAATATTTACACGGGTTTAGCAAGTTGGATCCGGAAAAAAACTTTCTGGAAGGAAAAAGTACATAGAGGTCGTGGGGCATCAAAAGTCTTGTAAGAGACGAGCCTATTTTTTACCGGGAAATAAGAAAAAACTGAAAAGCCGTATTCGGCGGAACCTTAGATGTGCGCCATCAGAGACAAGAAGGGTGGTTCGCGCCAGTCAAAGCAAAAGCATCCACACCCACGAGGACACCGATCGGGGACAGAAGGCACACCTCTTGTGTTCGTGCGGGTTGGAAACGGGAGCCCCAATTCTCCTGAGCGGCGCCATCAGCACTGGCCGCGTCTGTCTCTGAGAATTTGTAGCGACCGCCAGGGAGGTGGAGACAATGCCACACGATTCCAGAGTTCCCGTTTCACTGGGCACTTCCTGCCAGGGCCTCTGCCATGTGCTCAGCAAGGAATCGAGTCCCCGGGCAGCACACTCACCAACAAGGCCCACGTTAGGGAAACGTTTATGACTATGTGAGATGCTGAACGAATCTTAAATAGGTAGGTTTACACACGGATGTACAGGCTGCCTTTTAAACACTTTCGCTACCTGACTGCAATACGGTGCTA